GAGAGAGAGAGAGAGAGAGAGAGAGAGAGAGAGAGAGAGAGAGAGAGACGCAGATGCGTTCGCACGGGCGGTTGAATCTATAGTGCATTTGAGCGCCGCGTGCCGCTTGTGCCTTTTGGTGTTCTGCGTGACGTCTGGGAAGGATACTTGTCTCCATTGCAGTAAAATAATGCCGTCGAAAACTCGCGATTGATTCAACGGGAAAATGAGAAATAAACAGCTATTGGCTGTCAGCTGATTATTAAACAAATAGTAAATAGAATGTCAATGATTGTTCAGTGAACAGAAAGTGAAAGGTTTCTCCTTTTTTTTCTTCTTGTGTAAAACGACACAAGAAGAGTATGCTCCGACTGAGAAGTCGAGGGAAGGAGGGAATGGAGGCGGCAAGGGGGCGCGGGAAAGGACGGGTTTTGGAACTGGAAGGAAGCAAATTGGAAGTCTCACCTACGAGAGAGAGGAGAAAAATTGAGGAGAAAAAAAAAACAAACAAGCCGGTCTTTGACTGTGGTCTGCCAAATTCCACAGTCGATTCCACGTTCAAGAACAAGCCGGTCTTTGACGCCATAGTCATCGTGTAGCATACGAACCGACAAAGGCAAGGAGAACAGGAAGACAAGCGCGCACGCATACTCACACACACACACACACAGAGAGAGAGAGAGAGAGAGAGAGAGAGAGAGAGAGAGAGAGAGAGAGAGAGAGAGAGGTGGGAGGCAAATGAGGATATTCTCAATACCTCGGTGATGAGTGGTGGCCGCGTTCAATGGCTCCTATTTACCCCTCGTCAGTCGGAGAAATGTGTCCTTGTATGCATCTGGTTGCCTTCGTCGAATTTTCTAAATCATCCTTTTTTTTTTTTTTTTTTTTTTCGAGAGGGGAGGGGGAAAATGGGTAGCTATCTGGATTGATCCTTCATAGTCCACCGTCCTAAAGAATTTAAGCAATTAATTCCACACCCCGTAGTTTTTTTTTTTTTTTTTTTTTTAATCCCACTCAGTCTTGAGTTACAGTAATTTGATTAATTCCTTCCCCTCAAATCTGCCTCTCCCTTGAGCGGAATCGCGTTCACGGAAATATTTGGGAGTGAAAAAATCTCTGACGTCAGCGAAAAGCTGACCCCACTCATCTCGTCCTTGAAAATCTCTGACAATAATGACGATAATTACAGGTAAGTATTTCCTTGAAGTGCACGCCTGCTACTATGCTGAAGGCCAGTTATGTGCAATTTCTGTTCACATGACTGATTTGTTTCTTCCCTGTCGGGAACAGGCGGACCGTATTCCAAGGATTTTTTTTGCAATTCCGTTCTCTCTCTCTCTCTCTCTCTCTCTCTCTCTCTCTCTCTCTCTCTCTCTCTCTCTCTCTTTTGTTTTTTTTTTTGTCTGAAAGGGCGGCGGCCTTGAAATATCATCATTGAACTGACCGGCCCCAGGTGATAATTGGGAACTACGTTATTCTCTTAATCTGATTGCGGCTGGACTCGAGCTTGGGTCTGTAGATGAACAGTCCATCGGTTACCAACTGAGCTAGCCCTGTCAGTCCCTCCTCCCACTCTCTCTCTCTCTCTCTCTCTCTCTCTCTCTCTCTCTCTCTCTCTCTCTCTCTCTCTCTCTCTCTCT